TCGTAGTCTTATTTTATAATTTGTTTTTTTTTTTTTTTTTTTTCATAAAATTTTTTATATTCATTCATAAAAGTGTTTTATTTTTTATTTATTTACTGTATTCAATATTTTAATTTTTTTATAAAAACAAATATTTTTGTTTTGCGGTTGCTTTTATATTTGAATTTTATCTGTTTTATCCAGTTTTTTTTTTTAAAGAAATTTTTAGTATAAAATATATATATTTGTATGCATCATCATTCATCACTATCAATATTCATTACTAAAAATCAATTCAATTATATTTGCTAGTCCTCAATTGTTAAAGCAATTAAATTGTTTTTGGGGTAAATATAAATATAGCACAAGAAAAGTACTTGTCTAATTAAATTTTATTCCCAAACACTTTCATAAATTTCTATAAGCAGTCAAACTATGCCAGCGAATGATATCACCTTTTTCGCTAAGGACTTCACAGCAAAAGTTTTAGCAGTCATAGTCACAGCAGCAGCGCCTCTCACTCTGCCCCCCTATCTCTCTCGCCAGCTCTCCATCTCTTTCTTATTTATGTCAATGTTTKGTTTTAGTTCTTTTATTATTATTATTGTTGTAGGAGGCAGTTCGGCTGGTCGATGGCTTCTTGCATGTCGTACCCACTTGTACTACCTTTTGAACTTGCAATAAGAACAAAAACTGACGCGCATTTCGTCGGTTGTTGGTTTTCGTTCTGGGCTCTGGGTTCTGGTCTCTCACTCTGGCTGTGGCTCTGGCTCTGGCTCTGACTCTGGTCTCTAGTCTCTGGCCCTGTTTTATGTGATCAACAACGTGTTTTGTTCTTACTCAAGTTGTTTGGTACTATACGAAAATTGCTTCGGCGAGAAAAATAAGTGCAGGCATGTCAAAAACAAATACACACAGTCAAGCGTTTGTTGTTTTCTTTTCCTTTGTTTCTATTTTTTTCTTCCACTTTTTATTTTGAGGGGCAACAAAGTTTTTGTGCAGTTTTCTTGTTAGTTTTGAATAACCACCTCATAAAAGTAATACCACAATGTCCTTGCCAGTGCAATTTTTGCAATTTGTTGGCGTTGTTGTTGTTATTGCGAGCTGTTCTCATGCGCAGCTTGATCGAAATTTAGTGCAAAACTTTTACGCAAAGCAACGACAAAGGAGTAGGGAAAAACTGGGTTAAAAGTGTGGCATAGTATGCCAATTAGCTGACATTCGATTGGCTGCCAGGCAAACAGCTTTCACTTTTCGCGCTGTGCAGGCAACAACCTGCCACCTGCCACCTGCCCCCCTTAATCATAAAAAAAACGGCATTAACAATGTGCGCAGCGACATCTAAATTGGAAATCTTTGCCGCGTAGCAGGAACAAGCTCATATATATACATATTCCTTTTTTACTGGCTTGTGTTGATTTCCCAGCCACGCCTCTTTCCTCTTTTCTTTTGCATATTTTACCCATATTTGCTTATCAAGTAAAATGCATGCAACAACAATGTGCAACATGTTGCTGCTGAGGGAAAAAACTAGCTGTTTCCGGGACTCAAACACTACGCCAAACTGATTGCAACCCAACAACAGCAACAACAACAAAGAGCCGGAAGCATGAAGAGGTAGGCAACACTTTTGTTGAATTTGCAATAAATTTCAATGGAATAGCAAGAAAAGTAAAGCGCAACAAATAGATAGACAAAAAATATTACTAGTCGAGGCGTGTTCTCGTAAAGAATTTCAGCCAGAGAGAAATTTCAAAGGCATCTGCTAGTTGCGAATTGCATTTTTATGGAGAGAAAGGCAACATAGTATCTAAAAGAATTTATTTGTTAAGAAATTTCTTCATGCTTGATTTTTTAACGAACAAATCTAAAGGACTTTAGATATGCTCTTGTTTTTATTTATTAATTTTTTTTT